AGAGCCTCTTTTGAACCATTAGTCAGTATTGCAGTAGCAGCTTGAATGAAGCCTCCATGGAATGTCTTATTCTGTAGTTCTGGAAATTGCATTATTAAAACTTGATGGACAGAAGGGCAGTAAAGAAGGACATGGCAAATATCTTCCACCTGGTAATCACAGAAGCGACATTGAAGAGCAATGTGAATATTTCTTCGAGCTAGGTTCTGGTTAGAAGGTAAAATTTCTTGGCAAGCTCTCCAGGTAAAGATCTTTACTTTTTGAGGGATCTTGAGCCGCCACATGGTATCCTAAAATTTCTTTCTCTTAGAAGCATTTGAACAGGTGCCACGGTCAGGAGCTAGGCAAGTTCTGAAGAAGTTATATGCGCTACTAACGGAATAAATCCCTGATTTTTCATGCTCCCATACCCAGAAATCCTCCTCCCCCAAATGGCTGGGGTGTAATTTCAGAATGGCCTCGACAAGTTTTGGGTTGAATAAAGCTCTAAGTTTAGCCAAGTCCCACCATCGTGAATGAGGATCAATCAAAGACGCCACTGGACAATCAGCATGCCGGTAATAATGTTGTTGTAGATTGGCCCTTAGTTCCCTGCTCAAGTCACTTATACCAGGGATCCATTTGTCCTTCAGGATATGGATAGTGGTGCCATTACCGACAATCCATCTTCCTCCTTGTAATAATAGATTCTTAGCCTCCTTTCCACGCCAAGTATAAGAAGGGTTTCCACCTATTGATGCCTTTAACACATTGCCATCAGGGAAATAACGGGCCGAATATATCTTATGAAGTAGGCTGTTCTTGTATTGCATAAGCCTCCATGCTTGTTTGCCAAGCATAGCCATGTTGAAAACCTCGAGCTCTTTGAAGCCAATTCCACCCAAAGATTTGGATTTGCACATGCTATTCCAGGATTGCCAGTGGATCTTCCTTTCTCCCTTTTTTTGGCCCCACCAGGAATGGGCCATCATCCGTTCGATGTCAGTGCATAACGTAGATGGGAGTTTGAAGCAACTCATAGCATAGGAGGGGATCGCCAAGGCCAGTGATTGAAGGAGGACTTCTCTGCCTCCTTGGGAAAACAGGTTATGCTTCCATCCTTGCAGTCGCTGCCAGACTTTGTGCTTTATTTCAGAGAAGGCTTGAGTCTTGGATCTACCTACCATCGGTGGTAATCCAAGATACTTTTCATATTGTTGGATTTGGGAAGCATTCCATAAGGCCATGATAGCTTGCTTTTTATCTGGTGGCACATTAGCACTGAAAACCATAGATGTTTTTTCCCTGTTCAGTTGTTACTCAGAAGCCTCTTCATATATACTTAGGATAGCTTATAGACGGGACATGGTTTCTTCCTTGGCTTCATAGAAAATTAAACTATCATCCGCAAAGAGAAGATGATTCACTCTTGGGGCTCTTTGACACACTTGAATACTTGTCAACCTACTGGTACTCTCCGCTTCATTCATTAGGCTAATTAGTCCTTCAGTGCATAAAAGAAACAGATAAGGAGAGATAGGATCTCCTTGCCTTAAACCCCGGGATGGGACGATGTGACCAGTAGGGCTGCCATTAATAAGAATTAAGAAAGAGGGAGTAGTAACACATTTCATCACTAATTGAATAATCTTTTCGTGGAAGCCCAATTTGTATATAACCACCTGTAGGAAAGGTCATTCACCTCTGTCATACGCCTTACTCATGTCCAGCTTAAGAGACATGAATCCCTTCTTACCTTTTAGCCTTCTTCGTAAGTAATGGAGCATTTCATAGGCCACCAGAACATTGTCCGTTATCAGCCGTCCTTTAATAAAAGCTGAATGTGTTTCTGAGATCACTAAAGGAAGCATCGTTTTTATTCTGTGCCACTACTTTAGAAACCAATTTGTACATGACATTACACACACTGATAGGCCTGAAGTCCTTGACTTTCTGGGGATTTTCAGTTTTAGGAATGAGTGTCATGAAAGTGTGATTCAGCTCTTGGGGAAACTCGCAAGTATTTAAAGCATGTAGGACAGCGTTTGAGATAGAAGAACCAATATGAGGCCAGAACTTTTGGAAGAAGAGAGGGGGCATACCATCAGGTCCCGGCGCTTTAGCAGGGTGCATTTCCTTCAAAGCCTGTGCAACTTCAGTTGCATTAAAGGGTTGTATCAGTGCGTTGTTCATCAAAGGGTTACCTTCCTCTCCATTTTATCCACTACAACGTTCTGGTTGTACAAGCCATTGGAAGAGAACAGGTCAGAATAATAGTTGATGATTAAGCTATTGCATGCATCCCCCTCCTGCCAACAGCCTTGGTCATCCAACAGCTTCGTAATCATGTTTGTCTTTCTCCTCTGAGAAGCTTTAGCATGGAAAAAACGGGTGTTCTGGTCACCTCCCTCAAGCCAAGTAGCTCTAGATCTTTGTTTCCACATTAGTTCCTTCCTATCCATCCAAGTTTGCACTTCATCAGCCGTATTTTGAAGAACATCAGATTTTATATGTAGAGGATCTAGATTCTAGACTCTGGCTAGCTTAGATCGTGCTTTGTTGAGCTCAATATGCACCCTGCCAAATTTTGTTCGGTTCCATTGCTGGAGTTGATTACTATAGCAGCTTAAATTCACCATTATACCCTCCAGAATCTGAGGGTTATAACCAGACCATTGATTTAACACAATATCAGAGCAGGCCTTTTCACCAAGCTACATTGATTCGAAACGGAATGGTTTATCTTCTAACGGTTTTCGATGAGCCCCATCAAGTTGGATCCATAGTGGGAGATGATTAGAATACACTAATGAGCCATGGGTAACCTCATCATAAGTAAAGAGTTGACACCATGGAGTGTTAGCAGTAAAGCGATCAAGCCTTTCGAAAATTTGTGTAGACTTATGTCTGCCCTTATGCCATGTATATTGAGGGCCTTTGAACCCAAGATTACGGAGCTCACAATCAGAGAACATT